AGCCAGAAAGCATTAGAATAAGAATTGGTTAGCAGACTGAAAGAGGTATACGTTGTGGTTCTAGGGTGAGTGAGTTTAGCTTTGGATTGGCAGATTTAGTTTTATTGCAATTGGGCTTTGGTGAACCGGCAGTCTTGGGCATTTGCGTTTAACAGATGTATCATATCATAGGTCAAGATCAGGGTGGAGTGGGAGCCGACGTCTAGCACAAGCAACAATTATTTTTTTGCCTTGGGGTTGCTCATTTTAAATTCATCAAGTTGCCTCCACTGAGGTATTCTGATAGCTTAGTCAGATGATGAATTTGCAGGGTTGGACCCTTTGATTTACTTAAAAGTACCTTGGCTATACCCCCAGAATTATTCTATTTTTGGGGGTGCTGACGCCCCGCTGTCACCAGACCGCTCTCATTGGCAACAACAGCAGCAAAGAAGCAGCAACAGAGAAACATAGAAACAGCAGCGGGAAGGGGCCACGTTGGGAACTGAGAAACGGTCAGGGGAAGGGGCAGGTTGAACCCGCGGAGGGGGGGGGTATATGCCTCATATATCAGGGGTTAGGAGTCCTGGGTTCCCACCCCTCCTTGCTAAAGCTACACCTAGCTTTTGTGACAAATTCTTTTGGATTTTCAGGTGCCCTTCGCATTGCACCGCATTTTCGCATTAAACCTCAACGTGGCGCTCATCCATCCATGACAGTTTCATCGATGTTATAAAAACCACATGACAACCACCAAGAATGTAAAGAGCAAGTTATTAGACGTCATGAAAACGCATAACAAAGATATCAAGGCAAGGACACTGCAAGGCCCAAAGTTCTTTTTCCTCAAATATGTTTCTTGGATCTTGGATGTTTTGGGTTTTCTCGCGTATCTAAGGTTTTTTTGCATCAGGAACACATGCGTCCAGGCTCAGGGGCAAAAGTATATTGAGGTCAGAAAAGGCATCAACAGGGGCATCTTTTGTGGGGGACAACGTGGTGCCCTAAAATTTTATTGATTTTCGCGGCCAAACAGATGCGAGTTATGCAGGGCTGGTGCCTGCGTAAAAAGCATTCCCAGCATCTGCCATACCCCTCCCCAAGAAGCAAAAAGCAACTAGGTCCCATCTGGCGCCTATCCCACCTATCCACTCTAGGGTTCGCTTACGTCTCCTATTCCCCCAGGGCCCTTGAGGTCTCCTATCTCCTATGCAAACATACACTGAGAAAGGACAGGGTTGGTCGCAGTTTGGATAAACAAGAACAACATTTCTGATATTGAACATGTCCTGCCAGTGGCCCACCCTAGGCCCTAGAATTGAAATCCAAAATGGCAGACCAATTGAAAAAGACAAAATAGCTACTGTACAATAGCTGCGCGACATCAGGTATGTTTGTTGATTTTTTTGGTTGGGCTTTGCTCTTGATGCTCTTGATGATGTTTGTTTTGTGTTTTAAGCCTGGACGAAACCAGTTGTTTTTTGCCATTTGTTTCATGAGTGTTTCATGACCCGGTACTCGTCACGGGCACTTCCCTAAAACCATGACTTCCAGACCCATCTTAGATAACTTTGCGAGAAAGTGTTGTATGTTTCCACTTTATAGATTACATGACTTGTGCATACCTTTGGTGTGTGAAAACCATTTTATATAACGACTTTCTGGATACAATGAGGGGTTGGACTTCTATAGCGGGTATCAATGGGGATTATAGAGGACAAATGCAGTCGAAACTCCATCAGCCAAGATTTTCTAAAGACAGAAGGCCGCAGAACAATAAAGAGATAAAGAGCTAAGCTACAAAATCACCAAGAGTTTGATGTTGCCATTGCTTCTACCCACACACTTGCTTGGGGCAGACGTGCTCCGCCAAGAAAAGGCAGTTTTCATAGCAGCGTCATTGTCATAGCATAGGGCCAAGAAGTGTCCGTAGAGTATTCCTGAAACGTAAGGCAAAAGAGAATATCATTTTGGTTGCTTGAGCTCGGAGGGCCGTCACAGAGCTTGAGCTAGGAACCGTTTGAGATGTCAATCGAGGTTTTTATCGTTAGTTGTGTTCCAAATCCTTCGCCCAGGCTTTTCTATTGCTTTGCTTGGCTGTTTCCTGTGCAGCTGAGCCCTTATGCACTTGAGGGCGTAGTGATGCACTCGTTTTAGCAACATTAACCGCAGCAAGGCGATCAAGAAGGACCACATCAGTGGCGGAAGCAACGCGGACCAGGAGGCCGTTGCTGTATTTTTTCTTTTTTGTAGATTTGCGTTTTTACCACCCTCCTGTGGTATGCAGCGAATGTGGCGATTTTTTCTGATCAGGATTCCACTGACTCACTGCGTTTTCAGTCACCTCTCCCAGCCTCGCATTGGTCCACAGAGGCAGTTGCCCAATGCATGCTTTGCCATACTTTGTTTTCGCAACAGTGTGCACTTTGCACGCGAAGCACTTTGATTGACAGTGTGCCCTTCCATAGTGTAGACAACGTCGATGGCTCTTGGTTCGAAGAACGCTGGCAATTGAAACGAAGGTTTTGGAATGAAACTGCACTTTTCAACTTGCATGTGCAGAGTTTCATAACTTCAATCAGCAGTTGGCATGCGGGTATACCGGTGTCTCTTTTCTACTGGAATGAGATAGGACAAATAAGGGACGTGGACGATTCGCAGGCATCCTTGCCAGACATATCTTTGATGCAGGCTCGGGATCTTTTGGGACAGGAGTTTGCACATGTCACCTTGGAGCTATTCATTCATACCTGGTCTCAACCCTGGTGCTTCGCTGAGGTGTCTCTTGAAATTGGTCCTTTCCCACGGGATGAGAAACCTGGTGTCAAACTTTGTGTTGAGCTTTCCCAAGGCCTGTGCGGCTTCTATACAAGTTGCCTCAAGAAAGGTAGCTTCCTTGCCCCCTATCGCTCACGAAGTCGGTGAGGAAATAGTCAAGCAACAAGATGAGAAATATGCAACGAAGTGCTCACCCTTGTGCAGCACGGGCGGTGCCGTAGCAGCCTATGTCTCAAGGGCCCTCAGTCCCTGTGAGGATAGAATTCATTGTGATATAGCCAGGCACCAGGGGGTCGGTGTGGCGATAGATTCGTGTTTCATGATCGTAGGTGAACGGAGTCTGGGTCTGTTTGTTGTGGAGCTCCCAATCGGTCAACCTGTGTCCAGAAGCCTTGTTCTTTCTCAGATCGTCAACCTCTTTGGCCTGTTTCTTCACATTTTGTCCGTTTGCATCACGAATTCACGGTTGGAGTCCCGCATTCTGTTCCACTGCCAGATCTGAATCTGACTGTCGGTGTAGCCATTGGTGTTCTGAACCAGCATGAACTGTGTGAACTTTCGACATCGGCGGTCAGCACAATTCTCCCGCAGTGATCCTGCATCATCAAAAGGCTCATCAGTGAGGCCATCCACGATTCTCAGCACTTCTCTCGGCCCGTTCTCGTTCCACTTCATGCTTCAGGGTCTGAGCCATCTTTCCCATTCATTTTGTCCAAAGTCAGGGACATCCAGGATCCGGGTAGTTTGCATTCACAGCCAGCTCTTGGTTCACAAGGGATTGGTCATATGCAGTCACGCCATGTCTCGGACCTACGGCTGGGCACTCCCGCATTCTCAAGCACATTTGCATCGAACCGGATCAAAACAACATTTTGACAAACAAAAGGACCTGGTACATGAACTTGTAGATGCCAACAGCTGAAAAAGCAAAGAGAACAAGACACGTATAGTATAGATGAAGATCCAGTCTTCTCATCTTGCTCTGTCGGTGCTGCCCCAGTTCCAGGCACGCTCAGGGTCAGCGTGGCCAAAGCTGGCTGAGCGCATCCACACATCTGACTGAAGCTTTCGACGGTGGATGTGCTTGTAGAAGCGGCGGCGACTGACTCCCCTCAATTGCTTTTGAGCATCCAGGCATGCACACCCCCCTGGCCTAACCTCCTCTCTAACTGTGCTTCACTGCAGAACATCTGCCTTGCTGCCTTCTCATGCTTTGCAACCTCTCTCTCTCTGACTCTCTGAGACTCTCTCTCTCTCTCGGTCTCTCTCTTTTTGTGTCCACTTTCGTGACTTTCTTCGCTGCTGTGTAGGCGGGGTCATACTTCAACTGGTGCAAAGCGTCTCTGGCAGATGGTTTGTTCAGCCCGTCCGCGAGCTGCTGCTGAGCACTGCTCACCCACCTCCAGAAACCCGCCATGGCCTCCAGTCTCTCACAGACAATTGCCACTTCGATGGCTGTGCGCTTCTGTGCTAAACGCAAAACGTAAGCCGACGAAATCGACTTTGCTGCATCGAAGATATTTTTTGCGTTCGTGATGAGCGGGGTTTCCCCAAACAGCCGCAGAGTTTCATCGTTGCCTTCACATCCCCGAAAGATCTCGCACATTCATCATCTTTTCAAGTTTGCGACGCATGTCGCTGGAGGGCTTGATGTAAATCCTGGTGGATTCACCTACTGTATGGAGACGGATATCGTGAAGGCACTCTTTGACGTCAGCCGAAAAGACTTTAAAGACTTTCCACTGGTGCTGGCATGCCCACTGCAGCGTCAACATCTCCAACTCGTGACAAAGTCGGGCTTCCTTTCTCCAAGTCATTCTCCAAGACATGCTTGTGACGAAAGCCTTGGATGACCACTCTGGCCCTGTTTCGTTGGTTTCCATCTCTTCAACATCCTGGCCGGGATGAGTTCGCCTTCCCCCGATTCAGTGGCACCCACGGCTCGCCATTGTTGTCGGGCCAGACCCTGGTCAGCGATCCCCAGCATCAGATCCGGCTCTACCGGCTTCAAGCCCACGATCCACCTCCGGCTCCGATGCAACCTGGATTCCTCGGAGTCCTCATCCACGCGAACTGCACCCGTGTCCGCCGACCAGGCGGAAGTGCGCCCGCATAGTGCCCCGCTACCGCACGACCTGGATCGTCTCAAGCGCCAACAACGTAGTCGAATCCCAACTGGGCCCCGCTACCACTTATTGTGGTAGCCGGAGCCTGGCGCAACCTTGGAAAAAGTCAAGCACACAACGCCGCGGTCCCTCTTTCTGCTGATGCGGGCATGGAGCCGCAATGGGTTTCAGTGTCATCCCCGTGATCACCTGTGCATTCAATGCAAAGGAGGAAACTCTAGTGTCCTTTGACTCCTAGGCCCACGCTGGGCCAAATTTGGGAATTTGTAATTTTCCCAACTTCATACTTCATCCTCCACTTGTTGTGGAACATCACCATGTCGGAAATTTAGTCGTCCATACGAGAGCTATGTTACTGGGAGCTTGAGACCCATAGATTACACAATTATAGAATTTGGCAATCAGGATGTGGAAAGGAGAAAACTACTGTATATAGATCCATCTAGCACAGCTACGGCCGTTTGGCACAGCGGGTTTTGGTGCATGGAGGTTTGTTGTCATTTCTAGTCGATGTACTGAATGGAGTTGATTGCTGTTGTCAAATCGCCCGAGCTGCAATTTTTGATGAGTCGTGGTGAGCTTCGTGTTTTTCGATGATTTGGGGTGAAGTGCGGCGATTTGTGACCATTCTCACAGAACATGCGGGTTTCCGCAACTGAGGACAGGCCACCAGAAGAAGAGCCAGAAAGGAGCTGGAGGTGTCGCGATGGATGTTACGAAGGCTCAACTCAAGCGCTTTCTTCGTGACCATCATGCCTTCAGGTGTTTGGGCTTTGCTGATGCGTCTGGTTGTGCGGTTTTTCTGATCGTGCAGGCTCGCTCTGGACCAGTGGAGAAGGCAGGTACCACATGTAATTGTTGAAGTGACAGTTACCCTAAATTCATGCAAACCGATGCATTGTCCCATGGTATGGTATCCCGCCGTTTTCAATTTAGTTTCATTGGCAGGGTCTGGATGCAGCCTGGCCATCCAACATGACAGCAGAGGACAGCATCTCAAACGACAGCGTTTCGTTTTGTTTCAGTGAACCGGGATTCCACTTCCAACTTGAGGCATGCGCTGAATGCGCGCAGGTGTGTAAGCAAATTGACCTTGCTGATCCTTGCTGGCATCTACCCTGTGCCTGTGCCTTTCCCAATCACAAGATCTTCAATTCGGTGTGAAGATGTGCCAGGTGTGTTTGCAGAATTGTGCATTGTTTCAGCTGAATTCATGGACTGGGGCCACAGCGTGCGGGTTGTGTGTCCAAGCTGGATGCCTTGGCCAGTTTCAAAACCAGATGAGAATGACGCCCACGCCGATGCCGCTGGGCTTTGCCAACTCAAAGGCCCGTGCTTGAAGCAAAAAGCCAAACTCAAGCAAGGACTGCACGGAGTCCAAGTGCACCCAAGGAAGCCCAAAGGAAGTAAGTAATGTAGGAGTCCAAAGCTCAGTCGGCCAAAAGCTGCCCAATGTCAAGCAGCTGGCCTGCCGTAGTTGAATGATGTTGAATGGACACAGATTGCAAGGTCAGTGGCTTGGGCTTCCGGCAGTCCCAAGAAGTGGCATTTGTGGCTTTGTGGGTTCTTTATTTTCTGGCATGTTTTTTCGGCGCGCGGCCGAATATTGGCCGCCTTCAGGTGAATCTAAGGCGCTGTTGGCCCTTTTTTTTCTCTCTCTCTCTCTGGATGTGCTTTGCTTTGATTTTTGGCGTGGAGAGATTAAACGCTTTCACTCGGGTTTCGCTCTCCAGCTTTCCTTGTGGAGATGGCCGACGTCTATGCCTATGCATTGTTGCCTTTGCCTTCTTTCAACGCGATTGTCACGAAAGGTAACCCCTCAGGGGATACCTTGAGTTTGTCTTGCGAAGCAAGTGTTGGCTCGTTCGGGTCTAACAATTGATGTCTGAATTCAACCTCCCCCTTGGAACTGATATTTCAATCCTAACCCTCCTGAGAATTGATATTTCAATACAGACCCTCCCCGGGATCAAGTGGATTTGAAGTGGTTCGCTGCCCGCTGCGGATCTGTCGATCATCGTCGCATTCAGCAGATCATTCCAAACCGCAGCGTCTCGGGTGTTTGCTAGGAACAAGGACGCTACTAGGGGCTTTTTGCAGCTGGGAATCTGCAACTTTTTGATCACGAAAGGTAGCCCTTTAGGGGATACCTTGAGTTTGTCTTGCAAAGCAAGTGTTGGCGCGTCCGGGTCTAATAATTGATCATTCAATTCAACTCCCCCCCCTCGAATTGATTTCTCAATACAGCCCCCCCCCCGCCCCCTAGGATTTTTTTTTAAAACACACCCCCCCCCCCCCTCTAAATTTGGAGAATGTCTTCGTGAGCCTCTCATGATTTCAGGATAGTTGAAACCCTCTTGAACATTCAGAAAGAGTGCATATGAAATTCCAATCACGAAAGGTGTTCCCCGAGGGGATACATACCTAGAGTTTGTTTTGTGAAGCACGTCAATTCTCTCCTGGGGAACGTCTTCGTGAGCCTCTTATGGTTTCAGGATAGTTCAAATCCTATGATGCTCCGATTCAATGCTCACCGATGATCTGAGCCATGGGGCAAGTTTGTTTTCCTCGGAATCTTTTTGAACATTTCGAGAGCATATGTTTGAACATTTAGAGTGCATATGAACATATATCTACGACAGGTCGCCTCCGAGGGAATAAATCACCATGTCGAACATTGCATGTTTGTTCCTGCCTCTCGCGTTCTCTTCTCTTCCCGCTGTCCTACCTTTCGTGTCTCCCTCCTCTCAAGTGGTGTTTGTTTCATTGGCTGAACGGAGGGGCCCTCCCGTAGCCATATTTGCAGTGGATTTCCACCACACCACCGTTTACACCACACCACGGCTTTATACACCAACCGCCGTTTACACCACACCACGGTTTACACAAACCACCATTTACACCAAACCATGTTTTGCACTAACCACCGTTTACACCGCACCACGGTTTACACCAGCCACAGCTTACACCAAACCACGTTTTGCACCAACCACCGTTTACAACAAACCACGTTTACGCCAAACCACGGTTTACAACACCAAACCAATTTTACACCAACTACCGTTTACACCAAGCCACCGCCACCGACCACCATGTACACTAAGCCACGTTTACACCAAGCACCGTTTACACCAAACCACGGTTTACACCAACCACCGTTTACACCCAACCACGGTTTACACCAACCGCAGTTTACATGAAACCTACGCATGCTCAACCAATAAACCGTGGTGTCAAGGGTGGTTGGTGTAAAACGTGGTTTGGTGCAAACGGTAGTTGGTGTAAACCGTGCAGTGATGTATATAAACGGTGGTTGGTGTAAACGTGGTTTGGTGTAAACGGTGGTTGGTGTAAAACGTTGTTTGGTGGAAGCTGTGGTTGGTGCAGTGTAAACCGTGGTGTGGTGTAGACGGTGGTTGGTGTAAAATGTGGTTTGGTGTAAACGGTGGTTGGTATATAGCCGTGGGGCTGTGGGGTGGTGTAAAACCCTTTCCACCTTCCGGCTTTCCTGCCTTTCGTCTCTCCTTCTTCTCGAGTGTGCCATTGGGCAGGCTGCTTGAGCATGGGTGCTAGCTTGGCTCAGCCGTCTTTCATGTCAGAGAAATGGGGGCCCCAATTATTATTGAACCTCATTTCTAAAGAACCACCCCTCCCAACTTGAGGGCATGTATTGCTTTGTTGCACCCTTGTTTGGATGATGATGTGGATATGTATATATATATATATAATGGGCCCTCCCGTCGTAAATTATTCCAGGGTGGGGTCACCTCCAGGAATAATTTTTTCAGAATAACTTTTTTCGGAATATTAAAAACAACAGGTGTGGGTCGATGGTACCGTGGAATAATAAAGTAGGAATGTGAAGGTACCCTGGAATAATATTTGGTCGAATGTGAAGGTACCCTGGAATAATATTTGGTCGGTTTTTGGTGGGCAAAAACTAGTAAGGCTTCTGGTGAGGGGTTGGTATCTTTGGGTTGGTTCTAGCAGCACAAATACTGATAAAGCTTGTGGTGCGCAGGCCTTGCCTGTACTACATGTTTGCCATAAAACAGAAATTGCCTCCCTCATGTGTCTATTGGTTTCTATGATTCACCCTTAGAGGTTTTCTGGAAACCATGTGTAGTGGGGTGAGGTTCTTGAGTGCATGGCCATTAAACACAGGGGGTAGCCCAGTACGTAAAAGCAGCTGACAAGCAGGGAAAGATAAAAGACCTGAGACGTATGAAAAGTGGAAGCGATGAACTCGTAGCCTTGTAGATGGGTTGGAAAGCTCGGAGCTCCCCGGTTGGTATTTTGGGTTAGTCTTAGGAGCCTAGGAGCACAAATACTAGTAACTAGGGTTGGAAAGCTTGGTAAGGTTGGATGTTTTGGGTTTGTTTCTTCTTTCCAGCAAAGGCAGGGCAGGTGATATTATGCCAGGCCCCCACCAGAACAGAACCACCCCTGGAATAGTTTTATCTTGCGCCGGAGATAGGGAGCAGAATGCAAATTACTAGTAATTAAGTCTTCTGGTATGGATTGGGAAAGCTTGAGGTTTGGGTTAGGTATAGAGGCAAACAGGGGAGGTGATATTATTCTAGGCCCCTACCAGAACTGAACCACCCCTGGAATAATTTCTGGTGGTTATGGAGATTGTGTACAGGAGGGCAAAAACTAGTAAGGCTTTTGGTGAGGGGTTGGTATCTTTGGGCTGGTTCTAGCTTAGCAGCACAAATACTAATAAAGCTTGTGGTGCGCAGGCCTTGCCTGTACTACATGTTTGCCATAAAACAGAAATTGCCTCCCTCATGTGTCTATTGGTTTCTATGAATCACCCTTAGAGGTTTTCTGGAAAGCATGTGTAGTGGGGTGAGGTTCTTGAGTGCATGGCCATTAAAAGCAGGGGATAGCCCAGTACGGAAAAGCAGCTGACACTGACAAGCAGGAAAAAATAAAAGAGCTGAGACGCATGAAAAGTGGAAGCGGTGAACTCGTAGCCTTGTAGATGGGTTGGAAAGCTCGGAGTTCCCCGGTTGGTATTTTGGGTTAGTCTTAGGAGCCTAGGAGCACAAATACTAGTAACTAGGGTTGGAAAGCTTGGTAAGGTTGGATGTTTTGGGTTTGTTTCTTCTTTCCAGCAACAGACAGGGCAGGTGATATTATGCCAGGCCCCCACCAGAACAGAACCACCCCTGGAATAATTTTATCGTGTGCAGGAAATAGGGAGCAGAATGAACATGTAACATTACTAGCAATTAAGTCTTCTGGTATGGGTTGGGAAAGCTTGAGGTTTAAGGGCTTTGTGACGGGTTTTGGGTGAGGCATAGTGGCAGGCAGGGTTGGGTATAGAGGCAAACAGGGGAGGTGATATTATTCTAGGCCCCTACCAGAACTGAACCACCCCTGGAATAATTTCTGGTGGTTATGGAGGTTGTATACAGGAGGCAAAAACTAGTAAGGCTTCTGGTGAGGAGTTGGTATCTTTGGGTTAGTTCTAGCAGCGCAAGTACTAGTAAAGCTTGTGGTGTGCAGGCCTTGCCTTTACTACATGTTTGCCAAAGAAAGAAACTGCCTCCCTCAGGATGCCATATAGACTGCATGTTGCAAGTTGCTTTAAAATATTCCTGACAACTCTTCACATATGGAATAATTTTTGGCAACCATTAGGTCCTACACCCCGGAATAATAAAAAAACTATTCTGGGGCCCCATCCAGCCCAGGGCCCCAGATGGGAGGCCCCATTATATATATATATATATGTGGTAGCTTAAAGACGTGTATATAGAACCGTTTTGCCGGAGCGGCTCCAAGCTGCTGCTTTGGAGGGATGATTGCGGTGTGTCACCGCGAGGATACTGTGAGGCAAGCTGTCGCCGAAGCGCTGGCAACTCAGAAGCTCACTAGTTGGCACAGGGATTTCCCTTTACAATCTGTAGATCCGTAGGGCATGTTCAACAAGCCAAGAAGAAACATTTTTGTGCCTCAACAGCTTGGAAGCGTCACCGTGACAGAGAATGCTAAGCACCAGGTCGTCTGCAGCACAAATTGCGAAGGACTATGCCACGGCGTTTTCCAGATCCTTGAAGGACAGCATAGACTCGACTCGATGAACTTAGACGGTAGGTTGCAGACTAACAACATCTGCTTGGTTGCTCTGAGGGTCGTGCAGGGAGGTCTTTGAAACCCAATGCAGTTTGTGTTGTAACGGGTGTGGCGTTGTGGCACGACATTTTTTGTATCCTGTTGGTATGGACTTTGATGTGAGGATGCCTCCTGGCCCACAAGGCTTGTGACAGGCAGATGGCCTCAACACAAACGGAAGGTCAAAAATAGTTGGGATTGAGCACAGGCTGCCAGTTGATTTAGTTTGATACAGTGTATGTGTATATTTATATGTGCTCTATATATACACATATGCCTTGATATTTATTGTTTTCTCCATCGTGCCTTGCTAGCGAGGTTCATCAAAGGACCAAAAGCTCACCCACGAGGAAGCTCCATCTCACAAAGTCCACCGACCTGCTCAACACTCACTTGTTTCGAGTGCTCCGACTGCTCAAGAACTTTCTGACACTTCCAAGGTGGTGCGCACTGCCGGGCACGAGAAGGCGCGACACCAGTTGCCTGTTTACTGAACCAACTTAGCATTTTGTTCATGATGTTTGTGGAGTTTGCACGGCTTGGTTTTCGGTTGACTACCTGGTGGACCCCAAAGAGAAGAAGACAGGGCATAGTTTCGTTCTAGTTTCTTCTCGAGACCTTTGACACTTTCTTTGTTTGCTTCTTTTCGTAACGTCAGCCAGTTGAGTTCTCCTCGCTTTAGGAAAAATGTGTTTTGGGGGAAGGGAGGTGCAATTACTTGAGCGGTGATTCTTGATTTTGCACTACCCCCTCGGATGCCCTCCCTGGTGCGTTCTGTATTCAGACATCATATAAACCACAGTGCTTATGTGCTTTGTCACGTGCAGTGCTACCAAGAGCAAGAAGTCAACAACGCGGCAGTGGATTTGAAGGTACGGTCACAGAACAGTTACACCTGACTGGTTTCCAAACATGCTTTCACTGCGCGCGCAGACAACCAGGCACCAAACCATCCCTTTGTAGACATGCGGTTTCTATGGCAAGTGAGAAAATGGTACCAACTGCATTAGGATGTGCGCATTTCTGTTTGTATCCTTTGACTGCTGCTGCTGCTGCTACAAACTACGTAGTCCTGATTGTTTATTCGTTGTTGTTGGGGGCTCAAGAATTTCTTGCTTTCTTCATGCCGGGTACTTTTTGTTCGCCCCATTTGCGCAAGTGTTTTTTTGCTTATTTATTTCTAGTGTCCCTTTCTTTCGAGGAGTTTTGTCGGTCTCCTCAAATCTGTTGATGCAAAATGAGATGCTGCATGAGGCTGAGTCGCTCGACTCAGTGTCCAGGTTTATAAAGGCCAAGTGCTCAAAAGCAATCCCTCAACACCAAATTACTATACTCAGTACATGCAAATCACCACCAATCTGTTGTTCTGATTTAAGGAGTATTTGTGCACCCGCTCTGCACTATTGCGCCTTGCAACTTTGTAGCTTCCTCAGTTGAAGTAAGCTGGCACGCTTGGAGGGGTTGTCCATCCGAGGATATGTGGATGTTTGGCAGTGCACTTGTTTCGTCCTCAGCGCAGTTGTTACTTCCTTTGCAAACCCTTTGAAGCTTTCGCCTGCGTTGCCGTTCATCTTGAGAAGATGGAGCCTCACCAGCTCAGGCTGCTCCGCTGGCTGCATTTTGCACAAACCACGGCTGGAAAGAGCAGTTCAGTGGTCCTAAGTAAGAATGAACAGTCAGAGGGGCATTTCAATGAGCAATACGATTCGTTGCAGGTTTCCACAATTCAGTCTTAGTGCAGGCAAATTTATTGCACTTACTGTATCTGTGTATTTAATTGTATTTAGCAACATATTCTAGACCTTATAGGACCTGCTTGAATAGACGTGACTAGACGTTCTCTTCAACCACGAAGCTGCCGAGATAATAGGAAATTGTGTAAAACACTCGTGACTCATGACGGAGAGATCGAAAACAAAAGAAACTCCACGTGCGCAGACAGCAAGGACAGTAGATTTGCTTACAGTGATTGATGATTGGACCTCGTCACAATACCGAATTGGACAAAGTTATAATTAGGCTCTCACAGTTTGTGATATATGATATGATTCATTGTTTTGTCACGCCATGTCAGTGTGACAAGTGTGTCGCTTGAGGCCGCAACTGCCTCGTGGAAGCAGGTTAAGGCTGCATGAAACGGGCTCCTAGAAGTCTGAGGGACATTTGGCCTTGCAGAACTTGCAGACCCTGCGGATTTGCAAGGCCCGAGCTCGAGGCAAGAAGCGCTGCACTTAGGATGGCATGTGTGTGGCGACCGACTTTTCCACTCTGGGTGGGTGAGGTTTGATGCTGGCCAAGAGTACGAGCCATCGAAGCAAGCTGGCCCAAATCTGTACGAGCAATCAGCTTAGCTTGGAAGTGCACGATGCCGCTTTCAGAACTAGAACGAGGGCGGGAGGGTTTGGAGAAGTGCTTGGGAGTCATGGTGCAAAAATGTGGGTATATAATTGCATTAAGGCACTTTGACTTTGACTGTATACATACTTTGTACAGTTTGTTACCTCCGCCAATCCGCCGTTTTGGTTCAGTTCCCCTTTGTAAGCGAGCTGGCACGAAAGAGTTCCCAGTCTCTGTCAGTTCAGCTTTGAGTGCAAGCTTCTGTCTGCAATCAGCCATGTCTGCAAGGACCCTGAAGCTCCTGTCAGAGCCAGACCCTTCCGGAAAGGAGTCTGAATGCTCAAAGATGGGGATGGACCCTTCTGGTGCTCCAGCAGCACCAGGTCCTGCCAAAGAGTCCGTGGAGTCTTCGACTCCGCCACCACCTCCGGGCTTAGAGTTATCTGCGCCTCCTGGTCAGCTTGGAAAGGCGTCTGTCTCAGAGTTTGTTGAGGATGCCTGCCTGTCCAGCGGTGGGAGTACTCGTTTTGAAGAAGATGGTGATGTGGAACAAACTGCATTTTACTCGCAGGATTGGGAGCTTTCAGCTTGGGGCCAATCCTTCACGTATCCAACCTACTCGATGTATGAAACTGGTGCTCCTGCACCACCTTCTGAGGGCGCAATTCTTTCCACAACTCCGCTTTGTCCACCAGCTTTGGCTCCTCATACTCCTCTCAGCAATGCTTGGGAATGGTCAGCACCTCATGAAATTGCGAATGGATTGGTCCACCAGCCTGAGCCAACCTTCTTTGCAAACTACGGAGGCTCAGTCCAAGCCGGGCCTGAATTACAATCACAAATTGCCACGCTAAGATCGGTGGCGCACGAGAGTGGGAACTGCAAGCCATGCGCCTTTGTTTACACCAAAGGGTGCCAAAGTGGTGCGTCCCTCCCTCAGCTTGTTGTTTTGTTGATAGGAGAAGCAAGCGTAATACGCAAGTTGTGTGAACAGACAATTGATGACAGTTGTGTATAGTGTATGCCAACCTGAGGCAGTGTGCCTTTTGCCACATTTGCCCACCTGGTGAGAAAGATCGAAGAAAGAAGGTCAAGCACATCATGGCGAGGCACAGCTTGATGACATGTGCAAGCGTTCATTGGTTGTAGCATGTTGTAGCATGTTGTGGCTTATTTTGGCAAGGCAAAGGCAATGATGCGTGCTGGTTGGGGTTGAAATGGGACAATGCTAGATGGAAAGCCCTAGACCTAGGCCTAGACTATATATATATATAGATTCTGGATAATGATCCTAGACTCTCAGACAGCACCAGAGGGATAGAACTGGCACATGCCCAACAATTTTCAATTTTGTGCTTCAGAAGCTTGCAGGATCCGTCGTAAAGGTGGCAAGCCTGTGGATGGTGATTGAGATCAATCATGTTCGTCGGAGAGGCAGTCATGCAGCGAGCATTTTGCATGCCCTTCGTTCCTTTGTGGCAGGACGCTTTCTTGACACGGTTTTGTCTTCGCAAGAAATGCGGTCAGTCCTTGTCACAAGCAAAGCGCGAATCGATCTAAGGTTGTTGTGCGTCTGAACAGATGCATCGCCACGCCTGCGCGAGTCCTGTGCATGTTTAGGCATGCTCACTAGCAAAGACTCTCAATTCATTTAAACGTCCAAAAGGGACTGGTTGGAAGCTCATGCACACTTGGGATTGCTACGTAGGAGATCACCGAACAGGTGTTCTCAGACGTGTTGCAAGCAGTGAATGAGTGGCTTAAAAGGAATACTTATACAAGCTTAAGCAGCTTTATTCGAGAAGTGTGCAAGCCAGCATCTTGACAGATCTTGCAAAGGAGTCTCGCATGCGAATGAGGCCCTCACTTTTTCATGAAGATCGAGACAAGAGGCTTGCCATTCTTTGTGCACTTTTGACGTGGCCTTCCTGTGCATGAAAACAGGCGAGTGAATATGGGTGGGGAGTAAAGCGGATCAAAGTAATGCAGACAGAGCACGTGGGAGGACAATATAAAATGTAATCATAATCGAGGTATATTGTACCGTACCTATTGATGAAAAGTTCCGGTCCATATATATATAAATATGTATATATGAAATTGATTGAAATTGCCTTGATTTTCTTTCTACAGTTCATATTTCATGAAAAAAACATATATATATATATGTGGTTAGCGTTGTGCATATATGTATATATATATATATGTATATATATATATTACAGTGTAAAGCTTCATGTACGCTCATCTTCACCTCAAGGGCATGGTAGTGGGGCACTCTTGATCTCCTTGCCTTTGACTTCTCAGCTAAGGCTGCCTGTTCATTTCATTGCTCATCCTCTTGCCTACCTTGGGTCTTGTGTTCTCCTTGGCCTTGTCGCCGTCTTGTTGCCTCCTCTCCTGGAGGTTTTCATTCGCTGTGCCAGCTCAGGCCCCAGTGGTTATCCCTGAGGCTGTTGGCCCTGACTTAGAGAGGCGTGCTCGCTGGCCGGCTACCAGAGCAGTGGATATTGATACATGCCCTGAATCGTCTGACCCTTGCTTTGGAGCGAGCAACCAACAGCCCAATGCTTTGACTACTCCAGTGGCACATTTGATTCTCACAGTGGAGATTCTATGATCGACTTACAAGCAGGCTTTACGAGCTCCTCGCCTATGAAGGGTGTTGGGACAAGCCGAGCTTGCAAGCCGGAATGGCAATGACTTCCTCCTCTTGCAGGATGCTTCCAAAGTCGCTGGAGGAGGTTGGCCAGGTCTCCATGCTAGAGCACTAGGAGAAGTCAGGAGGGAATCAAGGCCAGAAGACTCTGGGCCTCATACAGTGGATTTTGGCACATGATATCGATGCGGCACTTCAGGAAGACACCGCAGGTGTGAGGGAGGTCCTTGCCTTGTTGGCTACATCAACAGAGCAGGCGAACTACGACAACGGAGAGTGGACAATTTGCTTTCCTGATCAGCCTACGCGAAGAGCCTCCCATTCAGCTCTTTCAGGAGCGCGCTAGCACGGGCCGTCCATTCAACACCTTAATTCCTCCGGCATGGACCGCTACAATTCTGAGCTATATCAAGGATATGGAGGTGCTGGCCTAGAAGAAGCCGGACACATAGAGAAAAAAGCCAATGTCTCCAAGGAGAACGCCAACTCCGAAGGGAGACAGGAAAAACATACAACCACAACACACAACATCTAAACTCCTTGAGAAGGCGATGTAAAAAAACACACACACAACATACAATCACAAATACAGAAAACACACAGCCACACCAAACAATCACAACACACAACCACAATACAACCACAATGCTCAAACACAACCACGAACACATAAACACCGTGTGTGTTGCATTTTGCCTGGCAGGTGGTCACAGGGTAACACTTTTGGATACCAATTGGAGGCCCTGGCAACACACCGATACGCATTACTCATTACTCATAATATTACGATAAGGCTACCAACAGGAGCGCGCAGTTCGACGAGGCCGAAAGTCCCAAAAATCTGCCACTATTTTGGGATTTTCAGCGAAGACATGTTTCCTTATGGCGGCTTCATATTTGGTGCTCGGTTTTAGGCTCAGCGGAAAGCACCCGAAATAGTAGTATTATTTTTGGAACTTCAAACTTGGGACTTCCAAAAAAGTTGGATTATTTTGGGATTCTGGTTTCGGCGCGATTTGCTCGAGTTTCGAAATAGTTGGATTATTTTGGAATTTTCGTTTTGCTGTTACGGCGCCTCGCCTTTGACCAAAGCAGTAAATTCCAAAAATGCACAACATTTTTGGAAAGCCATTATGATCCCATATTTGCAAGTTATGCGAGATTCGAGAACTGGTCTCCGCGTGCATTGTTTCATTCGTCGAAATAATTGGATTTTTTTGAATTTGTTGTTTTATACTGTCGCGGCTCCTCGCCTTGGCTTGGAGTCCTTCACTGAGCTCTCTCTTGATCAAAGCAGAAATTTCAAGAATGCACAACTTTTGTTTGGAAAGCCACAATGCTCCGATAATTGCAAGTTATGCGAGACGCGAGCTTCGAGATCGGAGTTCCGAGACCCGAGATTCGAGATCCAAGACCCGAGATCCCAGACTCGAGATCCGAGGTTCGAGATCCCAGATTCGGGATTTGAGATCCGAGATCTGAGATGCGAGATGCGAGAACCGAGATTCGAGATGCGAGGTTCGGGATTCGAGATCCGAGATCCGAGCCTCGGGAGTCGAGATCGGAGAATCGAGATTCGAGATCCGAGCCTCGGGAGTTAAGATGCGAGATTCGGTTTTTGAGATTCGAGATGCGAGGTGTGAGCTTCCAAATTCGAGATCCGAGATCCGAGCCTCGGGATGCAAGATCACCGAGTAGAGGATGTAGAAATGGCATCGAGGGCAATTCAATATAACGATGCTTTTGTTTCTTCGATAAGGATTTTCAATGAAGGTCCTGTTGGACCACGCCTTCGCATTTTTCGCTGATGCATAGATGGGAACGATGGAGAACTTATTCCGAATTTATACAATCATTCCCGTCGCTTCGATAATCGGCGGCTGTCCGAGAATGATCGGAGTACTCCAGCAACGAACCGCGCCCTGGATTCCGATGGGTTGCCAATGCGCCACCCTCCGGAGCTCTGACTGACAATCGTGCGATCCTTGTAGAAATTGCTGATTACTGCGTAGGCCGGAGCACCAGATATTTAGATCGCATGGTCGCACATTAAAATATTCATCCCCGTCGGCCTATCCTGGCTAGGATTGGGAGTGCTTGAGCCCCTGATAAATTAAAAATAAGCAAGCAGAAATCTGGCTGCATTTTATCAACACTTTTTTTGGGGGTATGTGGGGCTAGAGATGTCTGTAAACGTTGAGCGCCCCCCATCTACTGGGTGCGCACCACGGTGATGGAATGATATGTTGGGTGATTGGGGAGCTGTGATTTGAGCAAACCATGCTAACCCATTTTAGCCAGGGTGATGTGTGGGCATGTTTCTTGTGCAAAGGCTGAACCACTGTTTTCTGACCAGAGCAGCGCGATAATGCCACGAGCCATGCAAAATATGACCTTAACACACACACACACACTGCTGCACAAATCTCACAGATTGAGCTGTTTATCACGCGCCACCACTAGACAAATAAAGGTGCGCTGCCAGGACCGCTACGAGGGTTCACTCCGTCAAAGCACGCATTGAATGACCAGACTAGCCTTCTCCAGACTGCATTTAGAGAACGATCTCAGCAGTTTTTCACGTGGCATCGAGAATAGCATGAAGCGTGAATGGCGAACTGAAGCAGGCCTGAAGAGAATGAGGTTCATATACACTGCAACAACTTTTTCGACATTGTAAGTTGTCCATAAACGAGCACCGTCCCCGTGAATGCCTAAGGGGATGTGTCTGTTGGAAGCAGGGCGGTCAACAGCCCAAGGTTCCCCTAATGTTCGTGAATGGGTCCAGAATTCCTCTATCTCATCATCGTCAACTTCAATGCCTACCTCATCCATGAGGTATGTCAATATGCGGTGCGGGTACACAATGGGGTAGCTCTCCACCGATGCTTTGCACGGGGATTTCTCATCAAACACAGGGATGCGAATACTTTCGATTTCTTGCTGTGCCATGCGTTCACACAGTACAATGCAAAGACAATTCAAAAGTTGATAAATTGGGGTTGTACTTGGATAAAAGTGGAGGGGGCCCAACATAGGCTCTGGATAAAAAAAGTTTGGTCAGCCTCGGCTAAATTGTTATGCTCCCAACCCCACTAGTTTAAACTTGTAAATCCACCCTAAATTAACTCCCCTATTTTCCGCAGCTGGTCACAAATCATCATAAATCATGGATATCGGATAGCCTTCTCCCAGCCATGTGTTTTTGGACAGCTACTTCGTCTATTTCTGATTTATAAAAATCACGAAAGGTAGCGGTTGCGCTACCTGAGTTTTCCTCTTGCTTTAGCAAACATGAATTATAACCAGAGTGGACACCCAATCGACATTTCATTTTAAAGGCTGGGCCCCCCCCCCCTTTCAACTCCACCCTGGCGCGGTTCTTCTTTGTTAACGGCTACAAAAAAACACCGTAAATACTAGTGTTTGCAGCTCCTGCAGTCTGCAAGAGTGGCCTCAAACCATGCAATTTACATGGTTTTCTGTGGCTGTCCGGCCAAAAACCTCGTAAACATCGATGATTTTTGAAGTGTCTAGGCTTCAAAAATGGTTGAAAAATTGCAAAAAACCTGTCGGAAAGGCCTTTTTCGGCGTTTGGAGGCTCCTAAATTGCACAACACGACGTTATTTACATGGGTTTGCGCGCCTTCCCGATGGTTTTGGGCTATATACGCTTAAAGTGGCCACATAACACCGTTAATACCAGTGTTTTCAGTTCTTCCTGTCTTCAAAAGTGGCCTCAAACCACGCTATTTGCAGATCTTTGTGCGGCGGAAAGGCTTCAAAGTGGCTGTGCCGATGAAGACGGGCCCGCAATCAAGTGAAGCACCTGGTGAACCATTGTCCAGTGAAACAAAGTCGCCTCCACCAGCGTCGAAAGTTGGGAGTGAAGAGGGCACGGATGGTGATGTGAAGGATGACCTTCGCAGTGTGAATGTAGCGCTGCCTCGATTGCCTGAAGAAGATGCACATCAAGCAGCATTGAAGTATAGTGACTGGATTGCTGAGATAACCCCCTTGGTTCATGATGTTAGCTCTTTTGCTGGCCAATGGTGGAAACAATTGATGGAGCATGTTGGACAAGTATACAAACAGTGGTTAACCCCTAACAAGGCTCATGGTCGAGGTTGAAATGAAGCCGAATGCCTCGAGGTTGGAGAGCCGCGTGTCATCGACGCTGCTTGCGGCCCTTCCGTCCTCACTCAAAGCGGAAGTCATTGCGGCTCGGAAACTCACGGCAGGCGCCATCATGTTGGAGGTCCTCAAACGATACCAACGA